CCAGCTCCAACTAGTGGCCATAATGCAATATTCTTCTGAATCTATTTATTCTGTAAGCTTGAGAGAAAATATGGAAAAAAACAAATAATACATTTTAACCGTAAATTCTGCTTCTTGTGGCCTAGACCTGATGCTCTGGCTGGAGTGCCTCCACACTTACATGGCAAACGTGTAGTAAATTTATGCCGGACACTCAGGGGTTTATTTACTAATGCTGGAGAGTCCAAAATCAGATCCTCCCTTCTGCATAGAAACCAATCAGCTTCTAACCTCAGCTTGTTCAATGAAGCTTTGGCAATGAAACCTGGAAGCTGATTGGTTTCTATGCAGAAGGGAGTCTGATTTTGGACTCTCCAGCTTTAGTAAATAAACCCCTCAGTGTCAACCATAGAAATGTATTTTTTTACTACAGGTACTTATATAGCGCCGTCAATTTATGCAGTGCTTTACACATATATATTGTACATACACATCAGTTCCTGCCTTCAATGAGCTTACAATCTCAGGTTCCTAACTCATATTCATACATACTAGGGCTGATTTAGACAGGAACCAATTAACCTCCCAGAATGTCTTTGGAGTGTGGGAAAAAAACTGAGAAAACCCACGCAGGCACTGGAAGAACATGCAAACTCCAGGCAGGTAGCATCATGGTTGGGATTTGAACTGGCGACCCTAGTGCTGTCAGTCAGAAGTGCTAACCACTTAGCCACTATGCTGCCCCAAATGCAAACCTTTACTGACAGCATGTAAAGCACAACACTATCAGACTAACACATTTCAGCAACAGAAGCCTTCCTTCTAGCAGCTAAGTTTACTACTGGAGAGAAAATAGCCCAATAGCATTCACTTTTGCCTCCCCCCATTAAACAATAAAATATATATAAAACACACTATGGGGACCAATTATGACAGATGAGTGAATGCTGAGACATTTGCACAGCAATTTATTTTCTTTTAAAATGGACACATACAATTTCAGATTATACTGAGCTCTCTAAAGAGAAAGCCCAGTATTAATTGTTCTTTTTTTGACAGCTTTTTCTTCTGAACCACCATATAGATCTGCATGAGCCAGCATATATGAAGGTGGTGTCCCTGCTTAGGCCAAGAAGAAGGAGATAGACCTCAAAAGCTTATCCTAAAAAATGATCTGTTAATGTAAATAATGAAAGTTTCACATACCATACTATTGCTATTAAAATGATAATCACAGATGTAAAATGGCAATTGGAAAAAACATGCAGTAGTAAAACCGTTTAATTAGCCATCTTAGTTCTTACATTTCTTCCAGGCCCATACTGCAGCCGCGTCTATGTGTACTGTATGTGTATGTACTTTACATGTGCTATCCTATGCATACTGCAATATCCTAAACATCTGATCCAACATAAAGCATATTAGAGAACAACAAATATATTTCATATTGCTTATACTGAATACATTTGTTTAGTATGTCACTTAATGACCTATACCCAGTGAAAATCATCTGGTCTGAATATCAGCAATATGTGTAATTTATATGTGTCATTCATATCTAGTACAGTATTTGGTCCTATTAAATTCTTGTATTTATTTAAGGTGATTCTAAAGTTTGTATTTTATTTTTAAATAGCAAACACGTTATACTTACCTGCTATTTGCACAAATCAGCCCCAATCTTCTTTTTGGGTCCCCTGCTGGCGGTCCTGGCTCATCCTTCCTGCCAAGTGCCCCCATTAGCAAACCTCTATGGGGGCACTTGGGCAGGCCCACTTCCTAGCCATGCTCCTGTGTGTCCATTCACACACTAAACATGGCTTGCCCCCCCCCCCCCCCCGCTCTCCCTCCTCATTGGCTCACTGGATGTGACTGACAGCAACAGGAGCCAATGGTTGCCACTGCTGTGTGTGCCAATGAGGAGTGAGAGATTCTAGAAAGCCACTGCTCTCATGCACAATTCTGGATTGAGATGGGGCTCAGGTAAATATAAGAGGGTAGCTGCACCCAAAATGTTTATTACCTTAATGCATAGAATGCATTAAGGTAAACAACCTTCTGCATTTAGAACCACTTTAAGCAGTACATAAGGCCTTTTGGCTTCTTTCACAATGTAGGCAAGTTGCTTGAGTTGCATGGCTTACAGCAGAGCAAACGTATGTTGTTAGCACACTGAGAGCTTCTTGAATTATACTCTGAAAATTAGGAGTCTATTTATTTAAAAAATTGCTGTGCGAATGCCTCATGAATATTCCCTATAGCATGTCTCATATATTTATTTCCAGTGATTGTCAACTCCATCTAGTGGCCATAATGGGGTCATTTCCTAACTTAGATACTTCAGGGAAATGCCACATTATGGACACGAAATGGATCTGACGATCATAGGAAATAAACCCCTTTAGACACATTACAGTGATTATTTGTGATGGTTGAGCAAATGCTGAGACTTTCAGATAGCAATATTTTTATCATTAGACCCCATAAGTCTTGGAAAATGTAATATTTATTGTTATTTGTAAAATAAATGCACTGCTCAAATAAAGTAAAGGACCACTTTTTAATCAGAGTATAGTATCAAGTTAATTAAACTCCTGGGATATTGATCTGGTCAGTTAAGTAGCAGAAGGGGTTGTTAATCAATTTCAGCTGCTTTGGCATTAATGAAATTAACAACAGGTGCACTAGATGGGAAACAATGAGATGACCCCCAAAACAGACAGCGCGGTACAGGGGATCAGGCAGAAGGATGGTCAGGCAAGCCAGGGGTTCAACAGGAGACGGTCAGCAGAGGTCAGGATCAAGCCGGGTGAGCAACGAAGCAGGAACTCAAGATACTAGGTACAGAGGCTCATGGGAAAACATACACCAAGGCCCAGAGCACAGGCCTGGTCATGCCTTATATACACCTTTCTGCAATCAGCCCCAGGTTTGGCTGATTGTGAGCTTCTGGCTGCTAAGGGCACCCGCTGGTCAGCTCTGGTACTGCAGCCCACACGGCAGGTGAGTCCCACCACCAGTGCTGAGAGCACCCGCTGGTCAGCTCTGGTACTGCAGCCCACACGGCAGGGTGAGTCCCACCACCAGTGCTGAGTCCATTCCTGACAACAAGACTGGTTTTACAGGTGGAGGCCACTGACATTTTTTGCCTACTCCTCTTTTCTGACTATTTTTCACTAGTTTTGCACTTGGCTAGGGTCAGTGTCACTACTGGTAGCATGAGGCGATACTTGAACCCTACAGAGGTTGCACAGACAGTCCAACTTATCCAGGATGGACATGTCAATATGTGCCATTGTCAGAAGGTTTGCTGTGTCTCCCAGCACAGTCTCAAGAGCATGGAGGAGATTCCAGGAGACAGGCAGTTACTCTAGGAAAGCTGGACAGGGCCGTAGAAGGTCCTTAACCCATCAGCAGGACCAATATCTGCTCCTTTGTGCAAAGAGGAACAGGATGAGCTCTGCCAGAGCCCTACATAATGACCTCCAGCAGACCACTAATATGAATGTCTCTGACCAAACAATAAGAAATAGACTTCATGAGGGTGGCCTGAGGGCCAAACATCCTCTAGTGGGCTCTGTGCTCTGCCAATTCTCCATTGAACACCAGAATTGGCAGGTCCGCCACTGGCACCCTTTTCTTTTCACAGATGAGAGCAGGTTTACCCTGAGCACATGTGACAGACATGAAAGGGTCTGGAGAAACTATGGAGAACATTATGCTGCCTGTAACATCATTCAGCATGACCGTTTTTGTGGTGGGTCAGTGATGGTCTGGGGAGGCATATCCATGGAGGGATGCACAGACCTCTACAGGCTAGACCAGGGGTGGGCAAACTTTTTGACTTGAGGGTCTCAATGGGTTCATATATTGGACCAGGGGGCCGGACCAAGAGTAGATGAATGATGTGCATGTGTCATCCATAGTAAGTATAGTAATATTCCCCCATAGTAAGCATAGTAATTCATCCCCCATAGTAATTCATCCCCCATATAGTAATTCATCCCCCATAATAATTCACCCCCCATAGTAATTCATCCCCCATATAGTAATTCATCCCCCATAGTAAATCATCCCCCATAGTAATTAATCCCCATATAGTAATTCATCCCCCATAGTAATTCATCCCCCATAGTAATTCATCCCCCATATAGTAATTCATCCCCCATAGTAATTAATCCCCCATAGTAATTCATCCCCCTATAGTAATTCATCCCCCCTATAGTAATTCATCCCCCATAGTAATTCATCCCCCATATAGTAATTCATCCCCCATATAGTAATTCATCCCCCATAGTAATTCATCCCCCATAGTAATTCATCCCCCATAGTAATTCATCCCCCATATAGTAATTCATCTCCCATAGTAATTCATCCCCCATATAGTAATTCATCCCCCATATAGTAATTCATCCCCATAGTAATTCATCCCCCATATAGTAATTCATCCCCCATATAGTAATTCATTCCCCATATTAATTCATCCCCCATATTAAGTCCCCAAGTCCCTCCTGTGTCAATTCACTTACCTTTGCTCCGCGCGTTCCTCTCGCCGTGTTCCAGCGCCGTTCCGGTGTAGCATGAAAATCTGTCTCCTATGAGGATCTGTCCCCCTCGACGTATCTGCGCATGTGCCAGTTTCAGGCATTAGCAGCCGATCGGCGATCTCCGGCACATGCGCAGATACGTCGAGGGGGACAGATCCTCATAGGAGACAGATTTTCATGCTACACCGGTCTTCAGGGCGAACTGTGAGAGGAGCCTAGCGGGAGCCTAGCTCCGCGGGCCGGATTAAAAGCTCAGCCGGGCCATATACGGCCCGCGGGCCGTAGTTTGCCCATTGCTGGGCTAGACAATGGCACCCTGACTGCCATTAGACATCGGGATTAAATCCTTGGACCCATTGTCAGACCCTACTCTGGTGCAGTGGGTCCTGAGTTCTTCCTGGTGCACGACAATGCCCGGCCTCATGTGGTGAGAGTATACAGGCAATTCCTGGAGGTTGAAGGAATTGATACCATTGAATGGCACCCACACTCACCTGACCTAAATCCAATAGAACACCTCTGGAATATCATATTTTGGTCTATCGGATGCTGCCAGGTTGCACCTCAGATTGTCCAGGAGCTCAGTGATGCCCTGGTCCAGATCTTGGAGGAAATACCCCAGGACACCATCCATCATCTCATTAGGAGCATGGCCCCGATGTTGTCAGGCATGTATTCAAGCATGTGGGGGCCATACAAACTACTGAGTACCATTTTGAGTTGCTGCAATGAAATTTCAGCAAAATTGACTAGCCTGCTGCATAATTTTTTTCACTTTGATTTTCGGGTTGTCTTTGAATTCAGTCCTCTTTAGGGTAATAATTTTCATTTCCATCAAATGATGGGGCATCCTAACATTCCTAACACATTACCCAATCCGAATTAGTATAGATATCCAGCATGATATTTTTCCACATTGAGGTCTGATGTGTTTTCCAAAGTGTTCCTTTAATTGTTTTGAGCGGTGTAATTGTTGCTAGCACACCCAGAGTTTCTTGCATACAACCACCTTTATTGTTGTTAGAACGGCATGTCACAAACAAAAGTGCAACATTTCAGAACTGCCAGGGTACCTTCATCAGGCAAGGAAGCTCTGAATGTACTAGCAGCATATCCTTTCCTGCCATCCATTTGTTTTTACAAGGACCCTAACAGGGGACTTCAGTCTGGTTCACAATGGAGATATATAGATTACGGAACGCTAGAGCTACAGTGAAAATATATGATGTGTTACAGAGGTAAGTATTATTCCAAAGATAGAGCACTTGATCTAGCCAAACACCAACTAACAATGAGCCAGAATTTTCCCATTTTCTTACTGTTGACTGCCAAAATGACTGGATTGTGGGAGTCTTTCTACTAGTACCCTTCGATTTATGTCAGGATATCCCCAATTACCCTGTTCTGATGTTTGTGACAACATGTATGAAATTGTTTGCATGAGCAGATTCCAAAAGAGCAGTCTGTAGGTTTGTGTTGCACTGCCACCTAGTGGACAGAGGAGGCTCCTTGATAAAATCATCTAAAAGATTTGATGACACTGATAAACTATGTTTATTTTTATTTATTGCAGGTATTTATATAATGCCAACAATTTACGCTGTGCTTTACATGTTGCATATTCAATCTCTGCCCTCAAATTGCTTACAATCCAAGGTTCCTATCTCACATATATACATACTAGGACCAATTAAACTATCACCATGTCTTTGGAGTGTGGGAAAGAAACTGGAATGCCCAAGGGAAACCCATACAAGCACAGGAACAGCATGCAAACTCCAAGCAGGTCGTGTCCTGGTTTAGATATGAGCAGAGGACCCCAGTGCTGCACTTTGTGTATTTCATTACACTACCTATGGAATGCAGTGAGTGCTATAATAATGCAGAGAAGTCTCCACATTTCAATAGCCTTTGAGGTTCCTACATATATCCAATTAACAATGCTATTTAATTAAAGTGTTACTAAACCCACAACAGTAAAATCAGTCTTTATATATATAGCAAAGCATGCTTGTTACACTTACTGTGTACCTAAGGGGTTAATCTTCCGCATTGTGTAAAAAGGCCATTTGATCCTGACTTCTCTGCTCCTCCCCTTGTTCAAATGTCCACGTCTTATCTCCTGATAAGACAGACTGAACCATAGCCATTCTGCACATGCTCAGTTTAGTGTGTATTGCTAGAGATGTTTTTGTTTTTTCTTGGGAGAGTGCATGTGATCAGCACAGGGCCAATCATCACTGTCCAGACAGAGGTCAGGGTTTTTTTCATCTTCCTAGAGCAGAAAGAAAATTCCTCCTACAAGCTTTAACCAGTGCTCAGCTGAAGTCACATGACTGCTATATACTGCTGATGATAAAAGGTAGTTAGCAGTTTATATTTACTAAAATAATTGCACTTCTATGTTCTGTGTACTGTGGGAGACCAGATATAGTGAATGCAGGGTCCGGGGTTTAGTAACACTTCAATGAAATACCCTGATGTATGTGTGGTTCTGCAGTTGCCTTTAGTTCCATAACTGTACTGATATTACGTTTCGTAATAAAAGGAATTCTGCAGCTTGGAAGAAATACTGAAGCCATTTTGCTCAGAAGTTATTTAGGACTTAGAAAGCTGTATATTTTACGTAATGAATCCCAACAGTATTCTCAAAATAGCTACATTTGTTTCTCTGAAGTACACACATTATGAGCAAAAGTAAATTATTCATGAAGGTCAATGCAACTGCAATGGTTATCTGCATTACCTTTCACAAGGCAAGAGTCAGAGCTGTTTTTTATTCTACCAGACCTGATAACAAATAAAAGGACACTTTCTATTTAAAACTGAAACACTAATATGGTCAACCAACAGACAGCTATAGGTGTTATCAGATGATTCTCTCTGGAGGTGCCTATAGACTTAATAGGACAGTTACTTGCAGGGGTGGACTGACAACTCATAGGGCCCCCAGGCAATAGGAGATCATGGGGCCCCTGTGTCCTTGCCAAAACTCAAAAAAGCCTATGAAAAAGGTACCAGGGGCATCTCATGGGGCCCCCTACTGACCCCCCGGGCCCTCAGGCAGTGCCCGAATTTCCAAATGGTCAGTCCGCCCCTGGTTACTTGATTTATGGACACCTACAGAAACCACCAGCCAACAGTACTTTTATTTTTAAAAATAATATAGCACACAAACGTGCTATACATAACATTTTGTAATTTAATTCCATTGAAATTATCTTTCCTTTTCAATCTTCAGTTGCTGTAAATTTTAAAAAGTGACAAATAAGGAAATTCAATATGGCAGCCTGTAAGCCTTCTGTACACCACTGGTGTAGGGAATTCTTCAGAAACATAATTTCCAGGTTGTATAACTGGGTCACTGATTTTGTCAGTATTGTGCAGAAACATACAAAACATACATTCGGTGATCTACTTCCTAAAGTTTGTCTAAAGGGATGATGACACGTCACTGGGCTCTAGGTGCTTTCTGCCCTAAACGTTTGTTCTGCTAGGTGCCCCGTCTAGCCCCAGCAGCTGTCTGGATTTCATAGAGTTTGACAGGCTGCCAGCAGCAGGGCCCTTCACCTGCAGCTAAACCCGGACATCGGGACTGAATGCCCAGTGTACCTAGGGCCTAACACAAGTACACCTTACACCAAAACCAAGCATGTCACCCAATTTACAACTAAAACACAATAACAAATTCCTTTTCTTCTTGCTTTTCTTGGCAGTAATGTAACCACTCATCCTCCCTCTTCTCCCAGCAACTCAGAGGGATGCTCAATGGCTTTCGCCCATATCACCGGTCCCAGAATATCCTCACTACTTGGAGACCTCAGACACATTCTCAAGCTATAGTGGGGGGATACAGATATGATTGGCATCCCTGGACACACCCTGTCTACAGAAGTCTGAAAAATATCCAAGCACAATGTCATTCATCATGGTGAGGGTTGGGCTATGGTCTTGTCAGGCTTCTGACAATATACACCATATTGCCAAAAGTATTGGGACGCCTGCCTGTACAGGCACATAGACGTTAACCACTAGCCTACATGGCACTTACACCCCCTTCCTGCCCAGGCCAATTTCCAGCTTTCAGCGCTATCACACTTTGAATGACAATTGCGCGGTCATGCAACACTGTACCCATATGAAATTTTTATCATTTTTTTTAGACAGATAAGGCTTTCTTTTGGTATTTAATCACCTCTGGGTTTTTTATTTTTTCTTAAACAAACCAAAAACCACTGAAAATTTTGAAAAAAAAAGTTTTTTCTTATTTTTTGTTATAAAATTTTGTAAATAAGTGATTTTTCTCCTTTACTGATATGCGCTAATGAGGCTGTAGTGATGGGCACTGATAGGCTGCACTGATGGGCACTGATGAGGAGGCACTGGTAGGTGGCACTGATGGGCATTGACAGGCATCACTGATGGGCACTGAAAGTCAGCACTCATATATGGCACTGAAAGGCGGCACTGACTGGCACTGATAGGCGGAACTGACTGGCACTGTTAGGTGGCAATGACTGGCACTGTTAGGCGGCACTGATAGGCAGCACTGACGGGCACTGATAGGCGGCACTGATGCACACTGATAGGGCGGCACTGACTGGCACTGTTAGGTGGCACTGACTGGCACTGTTAGGTGGCACTGACTGGCACTGTTAGGCGGCACTGATAGCCAGCACTGACGTGCACTGATAGGCGGCACTGATGCACACTGATAGGGGCACTGACTGGTACTGATAGGTGGCACTGATTGGCAGCACTGATAGGTGGCACTGACTGGCATTGATAGGTGGCACTGACTGGCACTGATGGGTGACACTGAAAGGCAGCTCAGATGGGCACTGATATGTGGCATTGATGTGCACTGGTAGGCACTGAAATGTGGCACTGATGGACACTGACAGGTGGCACTGATGGACACTGACAGGTGGCACTGCTGGGGCTACACAGATCATCAGGGCACACTGATCACCAGTGCTCTGATGATCAGTGTACATGTCCCCTCCGAGCTGTCAGCGTGACAGCTCGTGAGGAGAGAAATGCAGATAACTGGCATTTCCCTGTTTACATGTGATCAGCTGTGATTGGACACAGCTGATCACATAACTGAGCCGACATCTTCGGCTCTTTCCATTGATCGGTGATCCGCTGTGTCTGAGGGACACAGCACACTGTCAATCCTGGAGCCCGCGCATGCGCGGTTAGAATGGGAGGACGTCATATGCTTGGTGTTCCCAGTTGCTTCTGCTTTGTTATAATACCACTAACAGTTGACCGTGGAATATTTAGTAGCAAGGAAATTTCACGGATGGACTTATTGCACAGGTGGCAACCTATCATGGTACCATATTTGAAATCACTCAGCTGCTGAGAGCGACCCATTCTTTCACAAATGTTTGTAGAAACAGTCTGCGTGCCTTGGTGCTTGATTGTATACATCTGTGGCCATGGAGAAGTTTGGAACACCTGAATCCAATGATTTGGAGGGGTGTCCCAATACCTTTGGTAATATAGTGTATGTTGACTAAGAGAGAACAGCAGGCTCCTTGTGCTTTAGCATGGTACCCTACTATTCCCTGTAAACTGAACTGAACACGTCTCTCAATATTGTAGTTCCGAACCCATGGATAGCGTTAACAAAGAGCAGCCGGAAGCAGGAACAGGAGTGGATAGAATGGCAGGACCACTAGGGATTTTTTAAACTTTAACAATAAAAATATAAAAAGAAGGCAAAAAGTAACTTTTAAAATGAATAGAATTATTAAATTTTTTTGCATTTATGTACACTTTAAGTTAATCGTGGAGGCCATGACTTCTTTGCAGTATTTCATCTAATATTTATGAGCTTTAATTGTCTCTGTTTTATTCATGGCCAGTTTATCAGCAGCTGAGTTTTAAATGATCTCATCTACCACATAACCAAACTGGGAAAGGGTATTTTTGTCCAAATTGTTCAAAAACATGGAAGCAGTCCATGTTGTTAACATGTTATGTTGAGATATATTTTAAGCTTTTCATAAGCTACTTTGAACTGATAAGAATTCTAAAGCTGACTAACGATATTGGATGGTGTCCAGCCATGTACACATGTACAGGCAGGTGCAGTCTGTTTCCTCCACTGTAGGTGCCACTCAACTTGAGCTATACCACAGCCTGAAGAGGAAGTCAGCAGAAACCTGTTTTTTCTATGGCTTCCGGGTCCCTGAAAGCAGTGTTCTGGTTGGCTACACTGCATCCAGGTGACCTTGGTGGCCATCTTGGGTCAGCAATGTCTTTATACGTCCCTGCCCCCAGGTTTTGCCACGCATTTTGCAAAGTGGTGAGAGTATGGAAAGAGCACCCATCTGTCAGGGAAAGAGATAGCGGCAGGGAAAGGTTCCATACAAGTAGGGACACGCCAGGGAGTTACAACCCTTAATGGAAGCCTCCCCTTTGGGTCTGGAGTGACCAGGCTGCAGTCTGCCCTTGGAAGACACACTATCAGTGCATCCTTACCCGCTGTATCTCTGCATTGAACTGAATTGGAAGTGTTACCCGAAGCACTGTTCTCCCACTGGGGTTGTTTGTAGTTAGCATTCTCTGCAATACATTTTGAGTTTATCTGACACCACCACACTGCACCTACTCACACACAGCCCAGCTGCTGACCAATCTTTGTTTTGTGACATCACAGTACACACCTCTAGGGTAGGTAGAGGGTAGCACCGGCTCATATTCGGGCAAATAAATGACAATCCGCTAGAATAATTGGTCAATAGATGTTAGGAAGGGCTAACGGATGTATAATTGTTCCTTGATGCAAGTGTAAATGTTTCTATCCTTGCTTCAGATGAAAAGGTCACATTTTCTCATATCTTAAAAGGCTATTTATGCTGTAGCTTACATTTCAGGTCTCGAAAGAGGCCCAACATTTTGACAGCAACATTTCTGCATTTATAGAAAATGTTTGAAACAAATAGACATTTTTCAAAGAAGCACTTTTATTTAAGGTAGATCTGCATTATTGTTTGTTTTATTGTATCTTCTATATTATAAATGCAAAGGGTCATTGTTCATTGGTAAGAAAGATGTGCTGGGGATTCCAGAACAATGTGATCCATTTGCTGATAGTGGTGACTGTAAAAGGACCAGCTGCTTCCATCAAGCTCTCCTTTGCCAAACCAAGGAAACAGTGGGTAATATGAGGGAGGTATTTTCTTGCATACTTAGGGACTGAATTTAAAAAGTAACTTTACCAATCTGTTCTTTTTCTAATTCCCTGTTATTAGGTATACTGGGTTATGCTAAATAGGCACACTAAACACACCCGGGCATCTTGTAGTGATCTACCACTCCACTCATCTCACTCAGCCCCATGCTTTCTGATGTCTCTTCCTAGCTCTTGCAGCCAGCCCCAAATGCATGAGCTGCATCCTCAGGGGGTAGGCTGCAAGATCCAGGAAAAGCCAGCCTCATGCTGGCCTGAAATCTCCTGGGATGTGTGATGTGAGTATCCCAAGAGGCTGTGGGAGAATGGGAGCTACCTCATTCACAACGAGGTGAGAAATCTGGAAGTGGGGGCCTGCATGAAGAAGAAAAGGTAACTAAATGTTTTTTTTTATTATTATTATTACAATACCCTAAAAGAAGGGGAGGAAGGTTCATTTTAGGGAAAGTAGGTGTGAGAAGTGGGAGTCCACTCTAATCACTTCAGGTTTCATATCAATATATCACATAAGAACAGAACATTTTTTACATTTCAGCTGTAAGTCAAGTGTTTTGGGCTTGGGGGAGATATTTTTTTCCCTGTTAAATTGTTTTTATTGAGAATATTTCAATGTTACTTACAGAGTGGCAGCACAAAATGACAAAAAACAAAAACAAAATGACTACCTCTTCCATTTAATAAGAAAACAAACCCGCCAAATGGCAAGAAAACTCAATAGGCAGGAGATCCATGACCAAAAAATTTTTAGTGGTGTTATTATGCAAAAATATATTTTAGGGTCCATGCACACTGGCCTAAAAAAGCACCAGTGCTCTTGGCAGAATCCGCTAATTTTGAGTGTTTCTTTTTTACTAAAAGAACTAATTTTTTCCTAATGTTTAGAAGAGTTTAGTGTTTTTTTTCTGCCAGAAAACCACTCTCAAAAACACAAAACAAAAGGCTTTTTTTCTCCCTCTAAATGCTGATTCTAAATGACCTAATTGCATGGACACATAGAACAACATTAGTTGCTTTTACAGGCAAAACGCTAAACTTGCTAAGCGGCGTGTTTTTAAGCTAGGGTGCATAGACCCATAATCTATTTATTTTAAAAGCAAAAATAATACAATGATGTTTCTTCCAGTTTGACCAGTAAGCATTTGAAAGAGGCTACTTTACTTTGTATTTAAAACTAAACTTGTGTTTTTAGCAACAAAGCATGTCAAAACGTCTTAGAAAGGAAATAAATGTGTTCTTTAAATTGTATGTGTGTATTAATACTGGAACCATACAAAAATAAGTAAAAAATATAGATGAAAGAAAAATGTAAGAGAAAAAAGTAAATATAGGTGAGTTTGTGTAAAAAGCAACCAATATTATTTTGGCTTTTATTGGCACCTCCAGCATCCAGCACTGAATGTATGTAATGGCAAGGGGTGCTGTGGTGTGCTGGAGGGTCTAATGATGCTTGTTGCATGGGGTTTTATTGTTGCTGGGGAGGTCTTATGTTGCTGGGGGTCAGTTGTTGCTGAGAGGGATCTATTGTTGAAGTAGAGGTGTATTGTTGCGACTGCTGGAGGTTCTATTGATTATGGCTGCTGTAAGATCTGTTGGGCCTTTTGTTGCTGGGGTGGCATTTTGTTGTGGGGATCCATTGTTGCTGGTGGTCTATTGTTGCTGGGGGGGGTCTGTTGTTGCTGGCTGCATGGGGTCTATATTACTGCTTTTCTTGTTATCATTAATAAATTCCATACAAATTACTTAACAGCACAAAATGATACTTGGTTTCTGTATTCTCCAAAAGGGATACAACTGGGAGGTGGGTAGGGGGTGGAATCAAGAAATGGTGCTCAGAGGTCAGTAAGGGGCAGAGACAAGTGGTGATTTTGGTGGGGATGGGGCTGCCCCTATTCTCTGAGAAAAAAAAAGCCTTGGTCATAATCATGATATGTAGGGATTGATTTACTAAAGGCAAATAGACTGTGCACTCTGCAGTTGCTCCAGAGCATAGTAAATGTGGTAAAGCTTCATTTTTCAAAGAATACTCAATCACATGTAAGGAAAAAAAAAAAAAAACTGAATTTTTGCTTGTATGTGATTGGATGATGGAAGTCAGCAAAGCTTCATCTCATTTACTGAGCTCTGGAACAACTGCACTTGCAAAGTGCACAGTCTATTGGCCTTTAGTAAATCAACCCTTTTGCTTCTGATGGTTTTGCTTGGGTTTCAGCTGTTTTGCCTTACACAACAAACTTGTTAATGTGTAGAGATAATAGTACATCACTGTCTAAAAACCAAGCAGAGCTCTCGATTTCTTCTGTAAAATAGAACTAGCATTGAGCTTGGAGGAACTCTGACCCCCATAATAAAGAGAACACCAGGCGAGCAATATGTTTATAGTCACTTTACTTAGTAAATCCCCTTATGACTGCCAACAAAAGAAACAGCTTAAAAATATTTCATTTGGCATTTCTGGATGTTCACAACACGTCTTGCGATGTAAGCTTTCACAATGCACATTCACAATGTGCAAACAGTAGTGACAGTCCTAAAAAGCTTTCATGTTCATGTAAAGCTTCCCACTGTCACACATACTGCAATACAAAAAGAAAAGGAAATCAAAGATCCAACAATGATCTAATAATGATTGCATTTCCTCTCTTATATCCGCTTTTATATGTTTAATAGAAAAAAGGGCACCTGCTGTGCTCTTTTCAAGCATCCTCTGTGCCCCATTGTAAGATGATATGTGTTTTTCTCTGCTCAGTAATATGGGAATGCTGTTTCAGAGCTGGAATTTGCCTTTCTTATGATTCCCGTTGCATATATTCACATCTCCTGCTGTAAAGGTGTAAGGAATGTATAACAAACAAAGAGCCTACAGTTTAATACATATTGGGATGATCCTTCCAGGCAGAAGTACAAAGCAGAGTTGACTGGTTTCCCTATGATAAGTTTACTTATTTACTGGAAGGTGATAAAATA